TTTTTTTTTTTTTTTGTCTTTTTGCTTTTTATCGGTACCGGAGATCGAACTCATGACTTGCAAGGCAGGCGCTTATGCCGCTGAGCTAAATCCCCAGCCCCAATTCCCACTATTAAAGGGGGAAAAAAATCAACAACAAAAATGTCTCATTCAGGGGCTGAGGATATAGCTCTGTGGCACAAGTGTCTGCCTGGCAAGCACAAGGTCCTGAGTTCGATTCCTGGAACCAAACCAAAAAAAAAAAAGTCTCATTCAGTTACTGATATTGAAGGAAAAACTGACATCAAAACTTTCCTGGTTGGGGTGAGGGAAGTAGGATGCTAAAGCCTGAACCCAGGGCTTCATGCATGCGACACAAGCACTCTACCGCCAAGCTACATATCTAGCCCTTCCAAACTTATATCCCAAAACTTTAAGCCAACCCTCAGTTCAGCTCCTAGTACAAAAAAACCAAACCAAACCAAAATAAATAAATACTTAAGCCAAGTCATTTTAATGACATTCAAATACAAACCTCTTACTAAAATATTCTATTTTTTGTTTTGTTTTGTTTTGTTTTTTGAGACAAAGTCTCTCTGTGCAGTTCAAGCTGCATTTGTACTCAGGTTGGCCTTGAACTATGATGTTCCTGCCTCAGCCTCTCAAGTGCTGGGATTACCAGAGTGTGCCACCATAATCGGCTAGTACTTATTATTAACTTATCCATTCTTTTTCTTTGTCTTTTTTCTGGTCTTTTTTCCTTTTTATCGGTACCAGGGATCAAACTCACGACTGCTTGCTTGCAAGGCAGGCGCTTATGCCGCTGAGCTAAATCCCCAGCCCCTGCCTTTTTTTTTTTAATCTATTCTTTTTCTATTTTGCAAGCCGGCTACATAGTGAATTCAAGGCTAGCCTAAACTACACAGCAAGACGCTGTGTCAAAAACAACAACAATATGCTGTCCATTTTGCTTGTTTTGGTATGCATGTATCAGCAAAGCCCGACACATTTCATGCACAAACACACATATGCTAGATGGGTAAGCCTCCTCCAGCTTGCTTCACTACTGGTGTCAGCTCCTGTTCAAAAACCCTTTCAGTGGCTTCTCTGTTTTGGACAGCACAGTCCTGGCCATTGGTACCCTCTACCTCACACACTGTACACACTATCTGCAAGTGCTCTGGCCTGCCCACAGGTTGTTTCCTTCTCTGAACAGCTCTCCTCCCTCCTCCACCCCTGACCAGCTTATGCATTACTCCTCTGGGAAGGACACCTAATAAACTGTCTCTTGCAATAAGTCTTCCTGGACCAACTCCATTCCATCTGGCAGCTAAAGCACCCACGTGTCCTCCCATCTCACTGATGGGTTTGTCCCATTTTACTACACCTCCTACCCGTATTTTGTCCCTACTAGAACCCAAACTTGCTCCTTTAGATAGGAATGTTCTCGCAACAAATGCCTGCTGAGCTTCACAGAAAGCTCCCCTGATCATCTGACTGAAAACACTCAGCCCCCTTCCTTCCCTCCTTTAGTCCCTCCGCTGCACAGTGGCAGTCTGCAAGTGTGTTTTCTAGTAGAAGGGTCCCGCCTCCAAGTGTGAGCAGGTCTCGTTCACTGTCGCATTCTTACCACGTACCACACGCAGAGGCAAACGCTGATTATCAGCTTAGGATTCAAAAGAACAAGGGAAAAGCTCAAGTGCAGGAGAGTTCGCGCCCGGTTAGTCAGAGCCAAAGAACCGGCTCTAAGGACGACAAACCAGGGATCACTCCTGGCTGTGATTGCCGGAGAATCTGGCGGCATCGCTGCCGGCAGCCGCTCCGCTATCCCCACCTGGCCTACCTCGGCGTCGCGGTTCAGACGGTACACGTAGAGCTGCGAGGTCCCGGCTACCACGAGGTTGCGCTCGCTGTTGTTGAAGAAGTTGCAGTACATCGCGAACTCGAGGCCGGTAGGCGGGTGCGCCTGCTTGTACACGGCGTACATGGCGCCGTCACCGCCGCCGCGGCCCGCCTAGTACGCCGACTGGGGGAAATCTTGATCGTGGCGACTTTACCCAGCCGCGCGGCAGCCAAGCTCTAAGAATCCAGGCTCCTGCACCTGCGCAGTGCGCCCGGCGGGAAGCGAGCAACTCGGGGGACACGGACGGTGGAGAACTCGGCCCGCCTGCTTTTGAAAGCCGAGTCCCAAGGTTCCGTGCTTGCCCAGAGGTTCCCAGCTCCCTTGCCGTCAAGGTCCGCCGAGCGGGGCAACGGCAGACTAATAGCGGCCCCTGCCGGCCGGCGGAAGTATCATCGGCCGGTGCTGCGACGCTGGATCTTCTTTACGCAAGAGCAGCGGTGTTAGCCGTGGCTCTCACCTAGGGCAGCAAAGGTGTCTATGTCCAGGGCCTTGGAGTCCTAGGAAATAAAGCAAGTTACTATAGTCACATACCAGAAAACGGCATGGAAACGTGTTTATGTCGCACTCAAACCCGGCAATTTCTTCACTGATGCCCAGGCTGATGGGTGAACCCTGATCCATACTTTAAAAAAAAAAAAAAAATCCTTAAAATCTTTAAACAGTCCTAAGAACTACTAGAGTCCAAATCACACGGGCACTGTCCTACTCCATCATAGGGCATCTGGGTTTTTTTTGTTGCTGTGTTTGCTTTTTTGAGATGGGTCTACCTATGTTACCCAAGCTGGCCCTGAACTGAGCCTTCTGTGCTCAAGCCATCAGCTTGCCCCAGCCTCTGGAGTACTGAGACTACCGGTAAAGATGTCTTCTTTTAATAAACAAGGCAGTCCACAAAGGAGCCGTAGGTAAGCTAGGCACAAGCTGAAGGAGAGTCTCTCAGTGGGTGAGCCAGACACTGAAGGAGCAGAGTTCAAAGGAGGGCGGTAGAGAGAATGTGCCCTGGACTTCTGGTCATCTACAGGAGGTGCGCAGAATGGCTGCAGGGTACAGAAATGCAGATGATCTGTACTTCACAAAAGGTGAAGTAGGGCTGTCAGCAAAGGTGGGGGCTGGGAAACACTGGCAAAGGATTAAAGGAGCTAGGATGCAAAATCCAAGGAAACGAGCATCTGACCCTCATTGTTGACTGGGAAGAGCGACGATGGGGCTACTAGTGCAAGTCTTGGCAGATTTAGGGCCCTCAGTGCTACTGTTCAGAAGCCTTTACCCTCCACAGCCCAACTGAGGCCTCCTTAGCCCTAGTAGCCTAGACCCAAAGCCAGTGGACACAATTCAATCCATAACATCTATCACCACCTGAAATGGCTGCCAAAACTTGATGTGGCATGCTTGTAATCCCAGCACTCAGTAGGCTGAGGCATGAGGATTGTGTCCACCAAAAGGGTGTATTGAAACCCAACCTCCATCACAGGACATCACTTCATTTGGTACCGGGGATTGAACTCAGGACCTTGCACTTGCCAGGCAGGCACTTTGCCACTGAGCTAAATCTCCAGCCTATCACTGTACTTGGAAATAAGATCATTACAAAGGTAATTAGTTAAAATGAAGTCATAGCAAGGCATGATGATGCATCTCTGTAACCACAGCAGTTGGAGGCTAAGAGAGCAGGATCAGTAGTTCAAAACCAGCCAGGGCCACATAGCAAGACATTGTCTCAAAAAGTTTTTTTCTTGTTGTTTTGTTTTGTGTTTGTAGTGCTGAGGATCAAACCCAGGGCCTAGTGATTCAAGGCAAGAACTCTACCACTGCACCTTCAGTCTGACACTGTTTTTTTGTTTTTAAAGAAAAAAGTGAGCCGGGTGTGGTGGCTCACCCCTGTAATCCCAGCACTCGGGAGACTGAGGCAGGAGGATCACTGCAAGTTTGAGGCCAGCCTGGGCTATGTAGACAGACCCCATCTCAAAAAGCAAAGCAAAGCTGGGTGAGAGAGAGATGAGGTCATAGTGGATACCAGGGAGCCAGTAATCTTATATGACTGAATACCTTATCGGCAGAAAAGCATAGACACAGAAGAAAGTCATGTGAAGATGGAGGCAGAAACTGGAATTATACCGTGACAAGCCAAGGAACACTTGGGCCCACCAGAAGCCAGGAAAAGCTCATAGAACAGATTCTATCCTAGTTTTCAAACTCACACCTTGACTTTGTACATCTAGCCTCCAGAACTGCAATAAAATACATTTCCATTGTTTTAAACACCCAGTCTCCATTAGACTGGTTACAGCACCCCCAGATAACGACTGCAAGGAAGCTCAGCATGGACACTTCAGTCAAGAATAGTGAAGTAGCCCTGTGGCCGTGGATTGCCACATTCTGATCCCAAGGCTTGTTTTCTTTTGTTGTTTGTTTTTTTATCACTACCAGGGATCAAACTCACAACCACATGCTTGCAAAGCAGGCACTTATGCTGCTGAGCTAAATCCCCAGCCCCTCTTTTGTGTTTTTGAGACAGGATCTCTATACAGTCCAGGCTGGCCTTGAACTCACTTTATAGTCCAGACTGGTCTTAAACTTGCAGTGATCCTCCTGCTTTGGCTTCCCTTGTGCTTGGGATTACAGGCATGCACACCAGGCTCCTAGGCTTGTTTTTATGACACAAAAAAACAAACCCTGTCTGTGTTAGCATGGCTGGTGATATTTTAATGATTGTTTTTGTTTTTGTGGTTCTAAGGATTGAAACCAAGGCCTTGTGCATGCTAGGCAAACTGTCACTGGTGCATTTGGTTTAGGTTTGAGACAGAGTCTCACTATGCAGCCTAGGCTACCTCTGGAACTCACTATGTAATGCAGGCTGGCCTCGAATTTGTGCCACGCTCTTCATTTAGCTTTCTGGTGCTGGGATCACAGGCATGAGCTACCACACTTGGTTTGATGTTGGTGTTGATTGCAGATAGGAACCTACCTGCTCTCACTATACCTTGGAGAACTCCTGACCTTGTTTTCCAGGTGAGTCTCAGTCACCAAGCACACAGCTGGCTGCCTGGAGATCCCCAAGTGTGTCTGTACAAAGAAGTACCCTGCAGATGGGCCCTTTGGAAGGTGAAGAGAACACACATGCTGCAGGGGTGGGAGCATCTTTATTGAACCGGAAGCTGGGGCAGGGAGTGGGGGGTAATTGAAGTCACTGGGCAGTTCACAGAGTCTGAGATGCCCCAGGGCCAAAAGGCACAGTTGAGGGTTGCTCACTGGAAAAGAACTATGAGAAGGTGATGTTCTCCTCATACAAGGACAGGAGCAGCAGGACGGTCCAGCCGCTTAGCAGGCCCACGTTGTGCAGCAGAAAAAGGAGCCAGGGCCGCCGGTCCTGCACATTCAGCATGGCTGGCAGCTGGGGAGGAGGTGAGTAATGGGTTGGTGGCTGGCTTGCGCCCTGGCTGGGTCACCTATCCAAGGGCAGGCCCCGCCTTGCTGCCGCACAAACCATGTCACAGAGCGCCACATAGAGGAAGAGGCCAGTGGCCACCGCCAGAATCCAGGCCTCACTCTCCTCGCCTATTCTGACCGCAAGCGCCACGTAGAGACCGATGAAGGCTGTGAGTCCCGAGGCCAGGTTCAGCAGCAGAGCTCGCCGAACAGTCAGACCAGCGTGCAGCAGAGCAGCGAAGTCTCCTGGGGGCATGGTCACGTAAGATCCCACCTACGGGCAGCCCAGGCCTCCGGAAGCCAGAGTCTCAAATTCAGGGTAATCATGCCCTGCCAAGAGCCTGCACAACTCCCAGGCCCAGCAAGGATACCTGAGGCCTTGTCCAGCGGGGCAGGCCCCACCTTGGCACTCACCCAGCTCATGTGGCAGCTCGTGGCAAAACACTGCCAGCGAGGTGGCCAGCCCTGTCTTCCAGGAGGACGCGAAGGCCGCGCCCACGGCCAGCCCATCTGCAAAGTTGTGCACAGCGTCGCCCAGCGTGATTAGGTATGGCAGCAGTCTCAGCTCTGCAGGAACCGTGGGAGTGGGTAAGCCCCGAGGTTGGTCCCACCTCGTCCCCCACCACCACCTGGGTCCTTCAGGGCTCACGTGAGCTCAGCATGCTGGACTCCAGGTGCAGTAGCTCCGGACTCTCTACTGCTACCTGGAAAGAGCATGGATGACCTAGGTGGGGAAGTGGGGTTAGGGGAGCAGGGGCTTGGCCAGGCTTAAGGGCAGCCCGCTTACCAGGTCCGCACGGGAGCCCTCGTGGGACTGCTTGGGCTGCCGGAGCTCTCTGGGCGCCAGCTGCAGAGATACACCATGGCTGTGGCCTCCGTGGCTGTGGCCACTGTGACTGCAGGTTCTGGCCTTTTCTGGATCCTGTGAAGATGGTGGTCAGGGTCTACAAGCTCCCACCGTGCCCACCTGCCAGGAACCCATTAGTCTGACCTGATCCCTGGGCAGCAGGAGATTGAAGAGACTTTCAAACAGGAAGAAGAAGTAGAGGCCTCCCAGCACGGCCAGCAGGCGCCAGGTGGCCTGTGTGCCTACACCCTCCTGATGCACATGGTGCTCTGCACTGAGGCTGTGTGCGTGTAGTCCCAGAATCTAGAGAGCAGAGGTGGTTGGGTTTGGGACTTGGAGGGGGAAGGTAGAAGCAAGAGAGGACCCTGAAGGATGAAGGCAGACCTTAGGTGTCAGGTGCAGCAGGGCGTCGCCAGTGAGTGCACCCACCGCCAAACTCAGGAAGGTCTGCATGACATAGTGTGTGGCTGTGCTGCAGCTGGTGCAGGTTAACAGCAGGAGGCCAACGACAGCGCAGAGGCAGATGAGCAGTGTGGCCAGAGAGCCATACAGGTACCCTACAGTATGAGATCACACTGAGTCCCCTGCTTTCCTAGGAGACACCCAAGTTGGACTCAGGAAAGAGCAGGAGCAGGCCAGAGCTACAGTCAGCAGGGATCAGGCCTCCGCTTGGGCTGGCTTGCTGTTTTCCCCCCAACTCTTGTCTTTTCTCTACCCTTGTCTTCTTTTGTTAACCCCCTTTTGCAGTACTGGGAATTAAACTAAGGATCCTTGCCATGCTGGGGAAATTGTTTACCACTGAGCTACATTCTCAGCACACACACACACACACACACACACACACACACAGACAGACAGACAGACACATATACACACACACACACACACACACACCCTTTGCCTTTTTTTTTTTGTCTTTTTCGTTCTTATTGGTACCAGGGATCGAACTCACAACTGCCTGCTTGCAAGGCAGGCGCTTAGGCCGCTGAGCTAAACCCCCAGCCCCCGCCTTTGCCTTTTTAAAAATTGTTTTGTCTCAGCCCTTTTTAATTTTGAGACAAGGACCACCAAGTTTCCCAGGCTGAGCTAACTTTTTTTCTCAGCCTCCTGAGTTGCTGAGATTATGGGTATGTTCTCCATACCCCTTTGCCTCCCCTTTTTTTCTAGCTCCCCACCTTCAGCGGCTGCTCCCTCCTTCCCTGTCTGGCTCCCATTCCCACAAGGCCCACACCCTGGGACATGAGCAGGTGGACATAGTGGAAAGTGGGCACTCACTCTCTGCCTGGCTGAGCTGGTCCTGGGTAGCAGAACTGGGCTGGGGGTTGCAGGCCCCACTCAGCTGCTGTTGAAGCAGGGCAGGGCTAATTTGAGCCCAAGCCTCAGGGCTCACTCCATCCTCCTCAGACAGCCCATACACAGCCATCACATCCCTGGCACTCAGGCATTCCTGGGGGAAGGCCAGGATAAGGATCATGTGCCTGAACAGACCAAGGAGACCCCATCTTCCTCCAGGACTGCATGGGTGGCTCACCGTGTCCCACACACTGGTGCTGTTGTTGAGGTCATCGAGGGGCACAAGGTCCCACTGATTGGTCTGTCTGCCCAGCTGACTATGGTCATCATGGTCATCGTGGTCATCATGGGCCTCTCCACCTACTCCCAGGCGCTGCATCAAAGCTTCCAGCTCTGGGAGGAAGGATAGCATCAGTGCACAAGCCATAAGCTCCAGCTTGCCACCCCGCCAAAGGATCCAAAAGCTGTGGGGTCTCACCGGCCAGGGTCATATTGGGGGCCTCACTGCTGTGTTGCCGAAACACGAAGTCCACAAAGTACTGAGGTCTTGGCAGGGCACGGAAGCAGGCCCCGCTCTTGACATGGTCCAAAAGAGCAGCCAGGACTGGACCAGGACTGCTGGGAGCCCCTGTTCTTGCCACCTCCTGCAGCAGCTGAGGGACTTCTACACAAGTCTAAGGAGGAGTTAGTTGGTTTCAGACCCACCTTGTGTGAACTTCTGGCTTCCAGCTCCAGCATTGCCGTTTACCCTAGTACACAACCACCTGCTCCCAGCCTCCTGTTTATACCCTGTAAGCTCTGCACCTATCGGCCTGGTGCCTTCCCTTCCCTGCCCTTATTTTTATAGTCCTTGCCCCACTCATTAGTAAGTAACAACCTGTGATCTTCTAGCCCACCCCAGCCACCCAAATGTGTCCCCAGATGACCTGAAGATTGTGTGGTGAGCTGTTTCCCTGTGCAGCCAAGCCCACCCTCCATGGGCCTCTACCATGACCCTTGGGCCTTCCTACCCCACCCCACCTCCACTCCCACCCTCACCTCAGCTAGCCAGCCAGCCAGCCAGCCGGAGCCCTTACCTCCTCCCCAGGAGAATGCCTGACAGCCTGGGTCTCCATCCTCCGGAGCAGCTGGTTCAGGCCCGGGGTCATGGCCTCAGGACTTTCAAGTAGGGCCAAAAAGTGGTCAGCACGGGAGGCCCAGCGGCCAGCCTGGATGTCTGCACATGTACCCTCTGGGTTGCTAAGGTAGAGGGCCATGGCGGCACTGAGGCGCTCGATGAATCTGGACTGCAGGACCGTTGCTGGGGTGAGCTGTGACTTGTCCGGCATGCCCAGAGCCAATGCATCCTCCACAGACAGGCACTATGGTCAGAGGCAAGTGGGCAGGAACTAGACTGACTGAGCCCACCAGAGAGTAGAGGCAGGCCAGATGCGTCATATCACCTTTCTCACACTGTTCCCCGTCTTTTGCCACTTGCTTGCTCATCTAGCCCAAACAGAGGTGCACACAGAGGGTCCCCAGCAGTTAGTTTCCTGTCTTTTTTTTTTTTGTCTTTTTCCTTCTTATCGGTACCGGGGATCAAACTCACAACTGCCAGCTTGCAAGGCAGGCGCTTATGCCGCTGAGCTAAACCTCCAGCCCCCTAGTCTCCTGTCTTGACGTGGTTTCTTCCTGGAGCCACTGACCCCAGCCAGGGAAGAAGAGAAGCTGTATGTTGGGGAGGACTAAATGCACCCCCATAAGAAAGGAGGCCCTGGCCTGTGGGTAGGCTCAGCTCTGGCCTTGGCCCGCCTCCTGGAATTTGTCCAGGTCCCTTTGCTGCTGGCCTTGGGGTGGAGCGGGCAGGAAGTGGCTGGGGCTGGGGGATCCATCGGGTGGGGCTGTTACCTTTCCACACGGCCCTTTGGTGCAGTGCACACGGTCCGTCAGCGTATTTAACAGGCTGCTCAGTGCCTCCAGATCCAGAGCGTCCTGGCCAGAGGTGAGCAATCTCAGCAGGTGGGTGGGTTGGGTCACCGTCAGAGGCACCACCAGCATGGCCAGCAGCAATCCCCACGTGAGCGGCACCAGGATCACCATGCTGGGGCCCCAGGGTACTCTGTGCTGTGTGGAGGTCGCCTTGGTTTGCTGTGGGTTGCTGTATCCAGACTAGGGCTGGGTTTGATCCGCCTGGCCCAGGCTCCAAGACCTCTCCCAGGTATTTCCAACAAGCCTCTTGTGATTGGCTGCTGGAGGTACTTTGGTTAACCATTCCAGTGGCAGATCCTCCCTAACAACGAGGAGCTGGGCCACTGCCTGCTCCCTGGGGGTGAGGATTGAGCCCCTTCCCTTGGCTACTTGGGTATCTCTTCCTTTCCCCTGCCCTCCCAACCCTCCATGCCTAGAACTGCATACAGGGCCGCCCTATTCTCTTTCCCCCAAGGGCCCCAGCATCCTCTGCTGTGACTCTCTGAGGGCTGTTTGCAAGCCAAGAATCTAGGGCAGAGATTGAGATGAAACCGGGTGACCTGGGCCCTATCTCAGAGCTTTGCACCTGAGTGCCTTCCATGCCCACCCTCTATCCTGTCCAGGCTGTCTTCTAGCTCAGACAGCAGATATAACCTCCAGAGCCTTGTAGCTGGAGCTGGTCCTGTAATGAGGGTTCTTTGGAGATTCTGGGCTATTGTCGTTAGGCAGAAGATTAGTAGCAGTAGGAGGGAATTCAGCAGCTGCTTGCTGAGTCACATCCCCACCCCCCACCAGCCCTCTAGGGTAATTGTTCAGAAAGTGGCTAAACCCCCAGGAGGGAGACAAGAAGAAAAAATGGGGCCCCCCTTACCACCTGGCAGGCCTCTTGGGTCAGGAAGAAGTTAGGGCAGTATCCTAAACTGTGGACCCAGTGAGGGTTGGGGGAGGGCTGTGATTTCTAGTCTAGCTCCTCCCTGCTGTTGCCTCTCCAGCCTTTGACCCCTGGGTCTTATCTCTCCCTGGGATGACAATCTGGGGGAAGGACCTAACCCCAGGGGAGCCTTTCCTGGAGTGGGAGGAGGGTGTCCTCACACCCTCTGAGTTCAACCAACCTCTAACCCAGAGCCCAGTAAGGTGTGGCTGGGGTGGGGATCTGCCTAATACCTGAGGACTCTGTCCCCTATTGTCTTGCTAGGCAGGGAAGGGCCACCGGGTGGGGCAAGTCATTACCTTGAGAATGTCCTGAGCCTAGGGTCAGTTCCTTCTTTTGCCTGCCCCACTGGAGCACACACTTGTATCCTGGACACATTATACATTATATGATGCCCCTTCTGGCCAGGATACCTGCAATATTGTCCTTCTAGGACAGCTAGGGGAAGGGATGGGGAGATACCACCTGAGACAATGAAGAGGACACCCACACACACAGCTGTGAAGTTGCCATGGGCCAAAACTGGCCTTCCAACTGGGCACGGTGGTGCACACCTGTAATCCCAGCACTCAAGAGGCTGAGGCAGAAAGACTGCTGGGAGTTCGAGGCCAGCTTGGGCTACAAATTTGAGTTAAGGCCAGCTAGAACTGCATAGTGAAACCCTGTCAATAAGACAAAACAAAACTGGCCTTCCTCCTGAACTGTCAGGTCCACTGAGTTAGCTAGAGCCTGGGCCAAGTCAGCTTATTCTGGCCACCCACTGTTCAAACATGTTTTGGTCTGGGCTTAGCAGACCAGGCCTACCTCTATTTCTGTGCCAAAAGACAGAACTGCTTGAGTCTTTGATAGGCTATACTCAGCCAGTTTTCCCCAAGCAGGTTTCAGTGTTGGCTTACAGCTTCTCCTGTTCCTGGTTCATGTGTACCTCTTCTGACACCCTCTCTTCTTGCTCAAGTGTCCCCAGCTTCCCACACATCTGTCACCCATGCCACCAGCTTAGAGCTTGTTGCCCTCTGGATATAGCTGGTCCTCTGAACACCTTGTTTCCTACAATTCTGGGCTGATTCTGCATTGTCCCATCAACCAGTAAGTTCACTGTATTTGTCCCAATTCTAAAATTAGAATAGTTTGATCCCCGGTACCAAAAAAATAAAAGGAGGAAGTCCTGGGCCACGCTACAACCCAGATGAACCTGCAAGACATGCTGAGTAAAACAAGGCACTCATGAAAGGACAGTGCTATAGCCTAGGAAAATGAAAATGGAAGCTCTGGAGCTGGATGGTGAGGTGAACAGGGAATGTATAGAGAATGGGGCTGTGTGCGCAGAATGGTTACCTTAGCAAGATATATATAGGTATTTTTAAGGGTTGCTACCATCTTTAATGTTTCAAAAACTGTTTGAACTAGTTTCCTAATCCTATCTCCAAGTCAAATTTTATATTTTATCACAATAAGATTTAAAAATAAAAGCAATGCTCCCCAGCCATCAGCCCCTAGCCCCCAACTACTGCACACCTTACTTATGTAACTTTATCTAAGTTGGTTGTATAAAGAAGCAGACTTGCTGGGTCTAGTAGCACATGCCTATAATCCCAGGACTTGAGAAGCTGAGGCAGGAGGAACCTCTGAGGCCAGTTTGAGTTGCATATTGAGTCCAAGGTCAGCCTGAACTAGTCAGACAATCTCAAAACAAAACAAGAAGCAGGCATTCCCTAGATGTGGTGACATACAGCTGTAATTCCAGCACTCTGGAAGGCTGAGACAAGAGTTGCAAATTTAAACCCAGACTAGGCCTTGTGTCAAAAATGGTTGGTGACTTCGATCCCCCGTACCGATAAAAAGGAAAAAGACAAAAAAAAAAAAGGTTGGTGAGGGGCTGGGGATTTAGCTCAGCGTGCCTTGCAAGCAGGCAGTCATGAGTTCAATCCCTGGTACCGGTAAAAACGAAAAAAAAAAAAAAAAAAAGACAAAAAAAAAAAAGGTTGGTGATATAGCTCAGTGTAAAGGCCCTGAATGGAGAAACAAGGAATATAGCACACTGGTTGTCCCAACTACTGTAAACAAGTGCTAGGATTAAATTCCACCATGCCCTTTACACAGAAGTATGCCGTGGCTGCCACAGTGTGAAACAATGTGCCTCTAAGTGGTATAGTTTGCTAACTGTTTCCTGGAGGACTGAACATGAAGAATAAGGTTATTACAGGGCTGGGGTTTAGCTCAGTGGTACAAGCACCTGCTTGGCAAGCGCAAGATTATGAGTTTGATCCCTAGTACCAAAAAAAAAAAGAATAAGGTATTATATAGTCTCTTGACAGGTGGCAACAAAACTGTGGCCTCTGGCCTATGCACAGGTGTGACAGTTGCCAGATTCTAGGCATACCAGGCCTAGGTAGAAGTCTGTTCTCCAAGTCAGTGCTATGGAAATTCAACCAAACAGTACCTACCCACTGAGGAGTCTGCTGGCCCTGAATGAGACAGACTGTGTGGAATGGGAAACGGATGGTTTGGAGGACAATGGCTACAGGACTATACTCAGCACCTGGCTCAGAAGCCAAGCCCTGCTAAGTCAGGTGTTTGAACAGACCACTGCAGGCAGGAAGATAGCATCTTTATTGGGGGTGAGTACTGACAACACAGGGGAAGGCATCTATGGACATCGAGGCTTAGGGAGATGTCCTGGACAGGTGCAGGCATTGTGTCAAGACACCATGAACCAACCCTCTTATGCTACCCCCACATCTATGAGCTACAGGGAGGCTCAGGAGTGCAGGAAGCGGTTGAAGGCGTTATAGGCTGACTCCAGGTCGAAGAGCATCTGGCGTACTTGGGAGTCATCCAGCTCATCAGAGGCCGACATGCCACTGAGGGTCTGCAGCCTAGGGGAATAGCAGTGCCTGAGCGAGGGCTACAGTCTAGGTCTCTGCATCAGCAGCTCTGTAAGCCTGAGAGGCACTCACCACTGGCTGACTGTTTGGCGGCCCTCAAAATCTGGAGGCAGGTGGCTCATGCGGTGCATGGTCTCCATCAGCTCCCTCAGGTCAGGCTGGATCTACAGACACAGGAACAGGGCTAAGATCCCATCTTTTTTCTCTTCTTGACCCTCATTCTTACCCCAGTCCTGTACCTCGTCCATAGCGCGAATCTCCAGGCGCAGCTTGTCCATGACTGTGATGAAGAGCTATGGAGATGGGTGTGAGGCATCTTGGACACACTCAGGTTGCAGAGAACCCCTCACAGCTCCAGGCCCAGAATCAAGCCCCAACCTTTCCTCTTCAGCCTCTTCCCCACACCCTCTTCCCTAAGCCCGGGGCTCCTCCCTGCTGGAGGTGGGGCTCCTGAGGCTGTAGGAATCTGGGATCCTGATTGTGAGAGGGGCTGTATGACAACTGGAAGGCACCAGAGTAGGCCCTGTGCATGTCCCCCTCACAGGCTCTATGGACAGCCAGAGGGACCTGAGACGGGGCTCTCCGAATGCTGCTCATCTCCACCCCCCATGTACAAGTGACTGCTGCAGAAAGGCCTCTCTCCTAACTCCCAAGTCCCTCCAGGGAGGCCAGGCTTACTGAAACCACATCTGCGATGCAGCGGTTGAGGTTGCCCTTGTCATCCTTGATGGTGATGGGTCGGTCCTCTTTAATCCTCTCCATTGCCAGGGGGCAGTCCAGCTGCAGGGAGCCAACATGGGTGCTGGGGCTCCTGGGGCCTTGCTGCAATAGCCCCACACCTGTGCCCAACCGCATCCTTCCTGCTAAGTGAAGGGACTGGCTCACTCACGCGGAACTTGCGGCAGAATTCATCAATGGAGCTTATTTCTGAGCCTTGAACCTGCCTGAAGGCAGCTTTGTACTGGACCAGGAGACGGGAGCAGGCTGCAGTGTACCTAGGATAGGATTGGCAGCTGTGCTGAGCTGGGACCAGCCCTGCCAGCTCACCTTGCTCTCCCTCAGCTTTGGCTGTTCAGACACAGGGCAGCTCTAATAAAAGACTGATTGACAGGTCTCAGGAAGTTACTACGGGTTAAGGGTTCTCATTAGATTTGTACAGGAGCTCTGAATGAGAATAGGCAGAAAGGACCAAAACATGATCACTACAGAGGTGGTGCTCATTGACCTGGAGGTCAGCACTGAACAGAGGCCCAGTGCCTGCCTGGCCTCTGGACCATAGTGTTGGTATCTGTTAGGAGTCTGTCATCCTGGGGGACCAGCCTGTCAGGTGTATCACCTTACTGAAGCCTGTATCCATGCTGGGCACTAGGCCTGGGCAGTACCACCTCTCAGGTTGAGCAATGAGGCTCCCACTCACCTTCAGAGGTCTTTCCATCAGCAAGGTGAACCAGTCTATGCCTGGGGACAGGGCCCAGGT